TGCAATTTTTTAGAAATATCTTTTTAGTTGTAATTTAATTAATAAAAAAAATCAAAAATTTTTAGACGTCTGCTTACTTTAGTGTCATGAAGAATTTCTTGACTAGAGAAAAAAATTGTTGGCTCAAGAAAATTTTCGGCTGCCTAAAGGAAGACCGAAGCTGTGTTGGTCGAAGTAAAAATTTTTCTTGAAATTCCATTCTTGGTAGAAGTAATTTTTTCTTAATTCAAATTATCATAAACACTTGATACAGTAAATTATTATATTTGATCAAGATTTTTAGATACTTTAAGCAGCGCTACCTAATTTAGCTGAGAAAAAAATTTTCTCACCTTGAGAAAATTTTTCTCTTGAATATTTGATACTCATTTTATAATATTTTAGCGTGCAATTATTCATATTGAATGAAAAAAAATGAAGAAATATTATTTCATCTTCCCATTTGACATGTTAATCAATAAAAATATTAATGAAAATTTACTTCTATCAAGATATTTAATTTTTTGGAGCAAGAGAGAAATTTTATCAAGACAAGAAAATTTACTTCTATCAAGAATTAAATTTTTTGGAGCAAGAGAGTGAATTTTCTCAAAACAAGATTTTCTTAAATAAATTTTCTTGAATCAAGATACGTATTTCTTAAAGCAAGAAAATTAATTTTGTTGAAATAAGTAAAATTTCTTGTCAAAAAAAAATTTTTCTTGGCTCAAGTGAACCTTTTTTTCTGTGTACAAAACTGTGGGCAAAGTAAAAATGTTCTTAAGCCCCGGTGAAAAAATTAAAAACTACCCCGAAATATAATTTCTGGGTTATATTTTGAAAATATAAAAAAAAAGTTGCAAATAAAAGTTGTGAAGTATAAAATTCTAGCTCTACCTGGCCATTTTTCCCCTAAAACGCATTCTTTCACCCCTAGGACGGTTCAGAGAACTAAAAAAAATTTTAATTCAACAAAAAATATAAAAATTGGACTTTTTTAATTTTCTTAAAAAAGTTATAAACAATCTTAGAGAAAAAAAAATTCAATAAAAAGTATAATCACCTAATAATTGAAATATTAATTAACTTATAAAACGTAAGATGACAATTTACTTTCTCAATAAACAAATTTTGAGTCATTGAATCAATAGAGTAATTAACAGTAATGCTTTATTTAGCTTTTAAATTATCTTCCGAGACAATATTTTTTTTAGAGCTGATTAGCATTTTTTGATTACTCAATTGTTATCTTTTTTTTTTACTGATTTTGCATTATTCATTTTTTTAGAAGAAATATTTATTTTACTGTTTAAATTTTTCAGTGAGTAATTTTTAAAATGTTTTTCTTTATTTTTGTTTACATTTTTATTGATGAGTGATTTAGATAAATATTTTTTTACACCTGAAAAAGGAAAGTTAATTTTTACTGATAAGAGAGATAATTTTTGGTCACTTTTTTTAACAGTAAAAAATCAAAAATTTTTTTTTCCATAAAATTACAAAGTTTTTGATATTAAAAAATTAACTTATAAAAAATATTAATAATATATAAATTAAAATAAAAATTGTTTTGTGAAAATTTAAAACAAAAAAAGTAATTAATTAATTTGTAGTATGTAACAAATAGAAACAGTAAAAATAATCACATATTTTTCCGTGTAACAATAATTTATTCCGGAAACACTGGAGTGTCAGTAGCAAATTAAAAATAAATCGATAAAACAAAAGTTTTATTTCCTGACAATTCCATTAATTGACAAGTCACAAGTTATAACTTATACTAAATAAATCTAATATAAAACGCTATAAATAGATCACTTGAATAGAGCATTAAATTTGAATGGAAAAGTTTAAACCGTAAAATAAATTAAAACTAAAAAGTAAAAATTGTCGGTTAACAATAATCAATTATTGCAAATCAATACCCGATACCCGAACCGAGTACACATAACTGTGCTAGTACTAGAACCCTCATTCGAAAAAGTACCGCGGAAATGGGTTCGTTATCATCTGCATCAGTATAATCAATTATACTTAATAATAATTGAGGTCTCGTAGCTGGTTGCTGGTTGCTGGTTGCTAGTTGCACAACAGAAGGAGAAGGAGAACCATCCAGTGTCTTGACATTTTACAATGCTCTACTTGAATGCTACACCTGACTAGTGACTACTCGATAATGCATGTCATCAATTATTAATGCAGCTTAAATCCTTGATTCCGACAGTACAATGTATTAACTACCTATTACTTAACTCGAAGTAAAAACTCTCCCTAGTTATACATCAGGCATTACATTATCGGTAGTCTAGATAAGAGTAGAGCAAAGCTTATCTTCATTTTTGTCTTCCCTCCTTGATCTATAAATAAAAATAAGTAAATAAATTAAATGAATAATTCCTAGGATATTTTTTATACTATTTATACCATTTATACGGGCCTCTAATTTCTTTTTTAATAAATCCAGGATATAAATCCATAGTCAGCCCACATACCAGTATCTAGAATCTAAAATCTAAAATCATTAATCTAGAATCCATAGAGACCCTAGTGATATTTTATAGTAATATCGGCTATAACCGTGCTATGGTTTAATTACTCAGCTTATATTACTCAGATCCACCAGCACTATCGCAATCCCAATCATCATCATCACCATTACCAGCACAGCAAAACGACCCGAGCAGACTAGACGGATATATCTTTGTTCCTTCGTTACTTATGCCTCACCACTGCTCTACTATTGGAATTTAACTCAGGATAACTCATTATTTTCCTTCTATTATACGGCACCTTTTATTCCTGATATTTCTCCATCTCAAACTACTCAGTTGGTCTTCAGCTTCATCTTCTGATGCAACTTATTTTTTTAATTTCTCCCTTTCATTATCCAAAAGCGAGTTATTTCCTAAAACAAAAAGATATCTTTTAATCAACTAAGGTAAAAGCTCCAATTATTGACAGTATTACATAGAAAGAACAATTTCTTGACTGGAGAATAAAATTCTTGGCTCAAGAAAATTTTCGGATGACTGAAGGAAGACCGAAGTTGTGTTGGTCGAAGTAAAAATTTTTCTTGAAATTCCATTCTTGGTAGAAGTAATTTTTTCTTAATTCAAATTATCATAAACACTTGATACAGTAAATTATTATATTTGATCAAGATTTTTAGATACTTTAAGCAGCGCTACCTACTTCAGCTGAGAAAAAAATTTTCTCACCTTGAGAAAATTTTTCTCTTGAATATTTGATACCCATTTTATATTATTTTAGCGTGCAATTATACATATTAAATGAAAAAAAATGATTCAATATTATTTCATCTTCCAATTTGACATGTTAATCAATAAAAATATTAATGAAAATTTACTTCTATCTTTGTATTTAATTTTTTGGAGCAAGAGAAAAATTTTCTCAAGACAAGAAAATTTACTTCTATCAAGAACTAAAATTTTTGGAGCAAGAGGCTGAATTTTCTCAAAACAACAAGATTTTCTTGATTTAAATAAATTTTCTTGGATCAAGATACGTATTTATTAAAGCAAGAGAATTAATTTTGTTGGAATAAGTGAAATTTCTTGTCAAAAAAATTTTTTTTTTCGCTAAAGAAAATAATTAGGAAGAAAAAGATTTTCTTGGCTCAAGTGAACCTTGTTTTATGTGTAGAGACTAAGTTATGATTTGATTTTTTTTAAGCAATCAAATATCAATATCGTTGAATTTTGTTTGTGGTAATGTCTCAAGTAATCTTTTTACCAATTAATTTCTTTTTTTAAAATAATAATCACTGATATTTACTAATTAATTTTAAATAATTAAATAGATTATCCGGATACACCAATTTTTGACAGGGTAAAAAACTGATTGATCTAATTATTGACATACCTCAGCCCCAATTATTGACACCTATACAGCGCATGCTATTAATAAAAATTAATTTAAATATAATTTATTGAATCAGAAGAGTTCAAACTCTTACAGTAAGTTTTTTAAATTAAAGTAAAAAAAAGGCGTCATAGCGCTGTCGAATGGCTGTCAATATGAGATTCAACTTAAAAATTATCAACTAGTTATTGACACCCATTATTTAAATATTATAAAGCATACAATTAATTTTGATTATTCAATTTTATAAATTTTTCATATATTGTCAATTAAAAAAAAAAAAAGATCATATAATTAGATGAAGAAATGAATTTAAACTCAGCATTTAAAAAAAATGCTTCTCTAATCAAAGTTGTTAAGAAAATAAACGTTCGTAAGCTGGTTTGATGAACTGGTGCTTTTATTTTTTTTTAATAATTAATATTTAATATTTTGAACTGAGTAATTTTTTTCAATTTTTTAATTAATTAGAATTTAATAAAAATGTATATGATAGTTATTCTTATTACAGATAATTAAATATATTTCAAAATAATTTAGGGTGTCAATATTTAGGCCCCTGTCAATAATTAGAGCTTTTACCTTATACTGATTTTTTGCTTTTAACCATCAAACTCTTACCAATTTACTGTAGTAGCAAATATTTTTATTAAAAAACCTCCTCTTATTCTCAGCTTCATATTTATACGCTCGATATCTCTGGAACAAGACTGATAATTCATTAAATTCTTTTTGCAATCGATTTATTGGACTGAAATGCAGGTCTCCGTCGTAAATCATTACATTTGAGCTTGTAGTTTAATTGTAATTTTAAAAAAACATCTAAATACGGCAACTAACAGCTGATAGAGCGACGGCCATTTTGAAAAGTATTAGTTTTGAAAAAGAGCGCTTAAATTATTCAAAAATTGGCGGGAATTCAAATTTTTTTAAAAGTTTAAAAGAAATTTATTTATTACTAACTTTGGTTTTTTTGTTTTCTGCTTACAGTGGGCGTGCGGGGGTGACTGGAGTGATGGGATGGGGCCAGAGCCCCATGGAGTTCGGGTAGACCCGTCTCCGGCCCAGCTCCCCAGCCCCCTCCGCCATCGTAACCGCCACCACTCGTGCAAGCGCCGAAGAGGGCCACCGCGAACGCGATGGAGGCTCACACTACTCACCAACACCAACGCAAGGACAAGGTACCGAGAGTTTATAGACCTTGTGCCTTTGATAAGGTAAGAGATTTAACACAGTGATTATGATAATAACAATGATGATGATGATGATGATGATGATTATGGTTTCTTTAGATGGAGGAGCTGGTGCGGAAAATGCAAGACCCGGAGAACGGTGTTCCCGTGGGCAGCCAAAAACAATTCCTCACATCAATTCCCGCGGCATTTATGGGTAAGTTTTTTTTTTTATAATAAATTTAATTATTAATTATTTAAATAAAAATTTTCTAACCTCAAAATTTATATTTTTTTTCCATCTAAAATTTAGATGATTATTTTTTTTTTTTTGTATTAATTAAATAATTAAAATAAAAATTTTTTAATCTTAAAATTTACATTTTTTTTAACCAAAATTTAGATAATTTTGTTTTTTTTGTTAAATTATTTAACTAAAAATTTTCTAACCTCAAAATTTATATTTTTTTTCAACTAAAATTTAAATGATTAAAATTTTTTTTGTGTTAATTAAATCATTTAAATAAAAATTTTTTAATCTCAAAATTTATTTTTTTTTTACTTAAAATTTAAATGATTTAATTCTTTTTATTAAATTATTTTATTAAAAATTTTTTAACTTCAAAATTTATAGTTTTTTTTCAACTAAAATTTAGATAGTTAAATTTTTTTTTGTGCTAATTAAATAATTTAAATAAAAATTTCTATTTTTTTTTTTAACTAAAATTTAGATAATTTAATTTTTTTTTTGTTAAATTATTTAATTAAAAATTTTCTAATCTCAAAATTTCTATTTTATTTTTCAAGTAATTTTTAGACAATTTAAATTTTTTATAAATAAAATGTATATAATTATAAAAAATAAAAAAAAAGTATTATTAAATATTTTTAACTTGAAGAAAAAAAGTAATAATTCGAGTTTTTAATGAAACACACAATCAGAAAGATAAAAGCTGACACCTCAGTATTGTCTTCTGACATTTGACACGTTTATTTATAACTTAACGCCGATATATTCCCATTTTATCTAAAAATCTATTACGATTTCCCTGTAGGCGTATTGTTTTTATTTAAAACTTCCTGTACATCAGAATCTAACCCGAAGCTTTTTATTCACAGGCTACGACCTTATAGAGTGGTTGATGGAGCGTCTTAGTATCGAAGAAACAGGTAAAAATAACTGTAAAATTTATTATTATTATTTTTATTATTACAATGTTAAAGTATGTGTTACATTGCAGAGGCGGTTCATCTGGCGAATCAAATCTGCCAGTACGGCTACTTCTTTCCGGTAAACGACTCAAAGAATCTTACTGTCAAAGACGATAGCTCTCTATACAGGTTCCAGGTAATTAATTATAATTATAATAATCTTTTATTATTAAATTTACACATAATAACACCTTGTTATTAGTTATTATATTAAGTATTCATAAATAAGGAAGACTATGTTTTATTCTAACCTACAAATCTAAATATCTAGAAACAATTTTATAAAATACTATTTTCCCTGTTTAAAAATATTCATTGAAAAAAAGTAAAAAAATTTGCTCTATGCAAATTATATATCTGTAGATATTTACTGAGAAATTGAAATCAATTGGAATTATTGAAAAAAATTCAAATCTTATAATAGTGAATTTTTTTCAATGTATGTTTTTAAACAGGGTTATTTTTTAGATTAATTGTAAAATTTAAATTAAACAAAAATAATTTTTTTTTAATCAAAATTAAACTTCTAACAATTTTAACTCAAAAAATAATTTTTTTTTTCAACAATTTAAATTAAATTATGTTTAACAAAAATTTTTAGTCTGTTAATTTGTAAAATATGAAAATAAGGTAAAGTACCCAGTAGTTGAACAGGTTTCAAAGTAAAACGTATTTGACTCAACTTTTAATACGTAAAGATGTAATTGTTAGTTCAAATTAGTTATTTTCATGAAAATATATACAATTTTAAATTAATTGAAGCGCAAAATAACAAAGATAATTAAATATTTATATTTTGACAACGTTTTTAAGATCGACTATGAAAGGAGTAGTAGTTAAACAATCAATTCTGAAAAGCCGCAGTAGTTGAACACTCCGAGAGCAGTAGTTGAACTAATAAAATATATTGCAATAGGCACACCAAAAATTTTTAACATTTTATTGAAATATCCAAAGATTTACAACATATTATTGAACAATATTAAAAATAATATTATGAATATTTAATACTAGCAGTTCGCCCCGGTTTCGCACGAGTATTTAACAAAAATTTTCAAATTATTCATAATATAAGATAGCCTATGTCACCCAGAGATAGTGTAGCTTTCCAACAGTGTAAGAATTTTTCAAATCGGTTCAGTAGTTTCGGATCCTATTCAATACAAACAAACAAACAATCAAATCTTTCCTCTTTATAATATTAGTATAGAAGTATAAATTATAGATAATAATTTTTTTATATTTTTCGTATAATTAAATGAAAATCATACTAAATCTTCAAAGTTGAAAAAAGTGATGACAAAGGTTACTTTTTTTAAACAATGATTTTATTTTTAACTAGCATTTACCCGCTGCTTCGCTCGCATTGAAGTCCTTCGATAAATATCAATGATCATTAGTATCATTACATTCCAATAGAACTGAATATTGACTTGTTATTAAAGAAAAAAATTTTTTTATATTTCGTCAAAAATAAATTTTTTTCTTTAATAACAAGTATCCTATGTTACTTTTAATATTTCCAAAAATATGTGCACAAAGATTCATGATGATCGGTTAAGTTGTTTTTGCGTGAAAGCGTAACAAACAAACTTACATTTACATTTATAATATTAGTAGGGATGTTCATTTAAAAATGAGACAAATATTTGTATTTAATTTCTTAATTACATTTTTTATGAATGACAAAGCAAATTTTCAATTATAAATCAAAAAAACTCAATTCAAAACGTTCAATAATTTTTAGCTATAAAACTTATTTAATTTGCAGTAATTAATACAAATCACAATTACTGATCACTAGTCTATAAACCTATTAGAGATTAGAGTGCTGTTAAAATTATACGGCTCCAGCTTGTTCAGGTTATGGGTACCGCTTTGAAAATTTCGAGGTATAGTTGAACGCTAAAATTTAATATAAAAATTATAGTTTATTTCTTTGCAAAAAATATGTATTATTTAGAAAAAAATGTTTCATTGGGTGGTACAATTTTTTTTACTTAAAATGATGATTTAGTACCTTTTTCATGAATAAAATAGTATTTATCGCTATTCTTGACATGCAAACTTTTAAGTTAATAAAAATATAATTGTTTTGATTTATAATTTAAACAATTTACAGAAATCAATTATTGAATTATTGAATAATTATAATATGCGAACATTACTCATAATAAATATCCGGATTTTGTATTACAACAATTCTAAAAGTCTGCTTAAGTACTGGGTACTTTAGCTTATTAAAATTATAAAAATATTTATCACAGAAATTAACATGAAACAATAAATTTAGGTGCCGTATTACTGGCCCTGGCAGCATCGGCCGCCAGACAATGTCGAGTATGCAATATATTTACAGAAACGTACGCTGAGAAACAAGCAGCGTCATGCGCTTGAGGATTATGAGATTGTAAGTAGCGTTATTTGTTGAAACTAATTTTAATAAATATAAATATTCATAAGCTATACCTTATAACGTCATAAGCTCATAATAATAACATAACCTAAGCGTGTGATATTATGATAATAATTAGTGTAAGAATGTCTGTCTGTTATGCTGATGGGAATTTCAGGAAGCGCTAGCTAGCCTGAGAAAAAACTTAGTAAACAAGTGGGAGCTTATCCACATGCAAGCTGAAGAACAAGTCCGACTATTTAAAGACCGCAAGAAAGGAGATAAGATTGTTAGCGACTCCCAAGAGCGTGCATTCTGGAGGGTTTACCGACCACCCCCAGGATATACGAGTAGTCTGGAAGTGCCACCGGTTCCTACGAGGGCGAGACCTGGCACGAGACCAACTTTACGAAAACGAACGCTCACTGATATTCAGCGTGAGGTATGATTTTTATTACTTCACACTCAATTATATCAAGAAATATTAATTTTCCTAATTTTTACACTGATAGGATTTATTACCTGTTGATAAATTCATTTATTTAAAAATAATTTATTAAATTATTAAATATAACTAAATATTTTTTTTTTTTTAAGAAAAGTACATTAATTAATAAATAATAATACTAGCAACTTTGCAGTTATTGTATGACTGCCGTGACTTGTGAAGTATAAATAATTGAAGCTATGCTTAATAAATAATGACTTTTGTTGAATAGCACTGTACTGTCTTAAATATTGACGTTTTTAAAGATATAAGCTCATCCCGATGTTACACTTATCAAGAGCTTTCATTTGAGTACCCATATCAATTTTTTCATATATTTTATATATCTATATATTTCACAAATACCATATATATAAAATATATAAAAAATGCCATGTGGGTACTTAAATAAAAAGTCTTGATGAGTGTAGCATCGAAATGAGCTTAAATTTTAAAAAATTTCAATAACTAAGAAATTACCTTGTATCTTGTGAACGATTGACATTTTTAAAGATATAAACTCATCCCGATATTACACTCATCGAGAGCTTTCATTTGAGTACCCACATCAATTTTTTCATATATTTTATATATTTATATATTTCACAAATACCATATATATAAAATATATAAAAAATGCCATGTGGGTACTTAAATTAAAGGTCTTGATGAATGTAACATCGAAATGAGTTTAAATCTTAAAAAATTTCAATAATTAAGAAATGAACTTGTATTTTGACAACTATCGATATTTTTAAAGATATAAGCTCATCCCGATGTTAAACTCATCGAGATCTTTCATTTGAGTACCCACATCAATTTTTCATATATTTTATATACTTATATATATGAATATATGAAAAATATATCAAAATGCATGTGGGTACTCAAATGAAAGCTCTTGATGAGTTTAATGTCGGGATGAGCTTATATCTTTAAAAATGTTAATAGTTCACCAGATACAAGGCCATTTCTTAATTATATATCTAGAGATTTTTGAATGCAGCTTAAATACTTATCATAATAAATTGACTTTCGGTGAGAATAAAATAAAACCTTGAAAAGGCATACATTCAAATCAAGACCTTTTCAATGACACTAAATTTCACTAAAAAAAAACCAATTTTATCATATGACTATCCTGGAAACATAATTTTTCTTATTCTCTTAATAATAAATATTTATTACAGTTGATGAATTTTTTTAAAGTGAAAGCGTCTTATTGCTTACAATACGATGTGTAAATAATTCATAAACAAATAATACCATAACTTTTTACAATAAAGATACAATACACTAATAATTTTAACCACTAAAAAAATTCAGTAGCTTACTACAACAATTGTTTTATTATTTATTTTACTTTTTTTAATAAAAAATTATTAATGATCCAATGGAACTTTCTATTGAAGCTATCGGGTTATGACAATCATAAAAGTTTAATTTTTATATTCACTTTTTATTCAATGGTCTGAACAAATCTTTTTTAACAATTGATAAATATTTATTAACAGTTAGTAAAGCTTATTAAATATTAAAAAAAAGCTTCTAATAGTGTCTCATTATAAATTATAACTATTATGCACAGGTCGAGTTGCTGAGAAACAGTCTGACTCGCACGAGGATAAAAGTTTCCGCGGCGATTGAGAATATCAAAAATTACTTCGAGACTTATATGGACTATGACCCGATGATTGTCCAGCCACTGCCCTCGAATCCTTGGAGCAGCGACGACCAGACCTTCTGGCAGCTTAACAGCCCGATAGTCGAGGTCCCCACGGAGAAGAGAGTAAAACGGTGGGCGATTTCGCTCGAGGAGGTCATGTCTGATCCCTCAGGGCTTCAGGAGTTCACTAATTATCTCAGGAAGGAGTACAGTCATGAGAATATCAGGTTCTGGCTGGCTGTTAAGGATCTTAGGCACTGTTTCCAGGCACAAATTTGCGAGAAAGTTACTGATATTTTTAGGTAAGTTCAGGCTATGCTTTTCAAAAATAATAATAGTTTTAAAGTTTAAGTTTGTGGTGTGAATTTTTATAGTCAGATGCTTCCAAAAAAAAAAAAATTACAATTTTTAAATATAATTTTCACAATTTTTGAGAAATTTTTTATACTAAAATCGAAAATTAAACTTTAGCAATTTATTATTATTATTATTATTATTTTTTTTTTTTTACAAAAAATTTAAACATTTTTCAAAAGGTTAAAAAATAATTTATTTTTTGTAATAAAAAATTCTAAAATTTTATTTCAAAAATAAAAAGTTAATTTGCTAATTATTTACAAGTGGGTCCACTATTTTCATTTTTATTTTTTTGAACAAAATTTCTAATTAATTTTATTAATATATTTTGTTTTTTAAATACATAAAAAAATAAACAATTAAAAAAAAAAAGCTCATCACAATTTATTAATTTATTAATTTTTTAGAAAATTAAGATATTCAACTTTTTTTTTAAATTGTTTGTTTTTTTTATGTACTTAAAAAAAAAAATATATCAAAAAAAAGATAAAATAGAAATTTGATCCAAAAACATAAGAGCCAAAATTTTTTCCAAATTTTGAAGGCAAAAAAGCTATCAAAATCTTTATTTTTTTCTTTCACGATATTTTTTATCATAAATGCGCCTTAAAAAAAAGCAAAATTAAAAAACAATTAAGAAATGTCAATTTTTTACCTAGATATGGCCAAAAATAGTCACCCCACTAGTAAATAATTACTGTTATTTTTCATACTAATAAAAATATAAAATTATGATTAAATTCTAAAAATTTTAGCATTGAAAATTATATTCCATAAAAATTTTATTTTAAAACTATAATTTTTCTATAATGTACTATGCTTGTAAAAATAATATTTTTTAATTTGTTGCTAATTGAACCTAACTATTAAAATTTACACTACAAACTGTAATTTTTCGATTATTGAAAAATTTTCATTATTTATTTAAAGTAGAATTAATATTTTTAATTATTAAATTTAAAAAAATTCATTCATTAATAATACTATTTTGTAGATACGATTTTTACGATCTTGTTACTCAAAATTATCCAAAGTAGATTGTTCATTTGCTCGCAGAACCGGAACAATAATTTGAGCATTAAAATCCAATTAGAACAGCTCAGAGAAATAAAGTCGCTTTGAGATAATATAATTTCGCTGATCGATAGTTATCATACAAAGAAAGAGATTAATTAATTCACTCTAAAATTCATATCCGTTAAAATTATTTCCACTCACCCAGTGAGTACTTATCTTTTATCGTACATCTTTATTAAATCTGGAAATTTTTTAATCACTTAAAAAATTTATGTGCGAATTATATTTATTCATAAGTCTTTGATAAATATTAAATCCGCTGAATTCGCAACACTGATATCAATTTAATTATAATTTTTTAAAAGTTTCCAAGAAAAACAATCCGGAAGCAAGTGAGATAAACTTTCCAGGAAATGCTTTGGCTCGAGTTTCACTTTTCTGAGAAACTAATTCCGATAATTTCTTCAAGTATTTCTTGGAATAAAAATTTAAACTTAAATAAATTTTAGAGATTCTCAAATTTATAACGTAAAAGCCCCAATTATTGACAGGGGTCTAAATATTGACACCCTAAATAATTTTTAAATATATTTAATTACCTGTAATAAGAATAACTATCATATAAATTTTTATTAAATTCTACTTAATTAAAAAATTGAAAAAAATTATTGTAGCAATAAATAAATAAATAAATTTCTTTGAAACTTTTAAAAAATTTGAATTCCCGCTAATTTTTGAATTAATTTAAGCGCTCTTTATCAAAACTAATACTTTTCAAAATGGCTGTCGCTCTATCAGCTGTTAGTTGCCGTATTTAGATGTTTTTTTAAAATTACAATTAAACTACAAGCTCAAATGTAATAATTTACGACGGAGACCTGCATTTCAGTCCAATAAATCGATTGCAAAAAGAATTTAATGAATTATCAGTCTCGTTCCAGAGATATCGACCGTATAAATATGAAGCTAAGAATAAGAGGAGGTTTTTTAATAAAAATATTTGTTACTACAGTAAATTGGTAAGAATTTTATGGTTAGAAGCAAAAAATCAGAATAAGGAAAAAGTCCCAATTATTGACAGAGGTCTAAATATTGACACCCTAAATTATTTTTAGATATATTTAATCATCTGTAATAAGAATAACTATCATATAAATTTTTATTAAATTCTAATTAAAAAATTGAAAAAAATTACTTAGTTCAAAATATTAAATATTAATTATTAAAAAAAAATAAAGTTAGCACCAGTTCATCAAACCAGCTTACGAACGTTTATTTTCTTAACAACTTTGATTAGAAAAGCATTTTTTTAAATGCCGAGTTTAAATTAATTTCTTCATCTAATAATATGATCTTTTTCTTTTTTTTAAATTGACAATATATGAAAAATTTATAAAATTGAATAATCGAAATTAATTGTGTGCTTTATAATATTTAAATAATGGGTGTCAATAACTAGTTGATAATTTTTATGACGCCTTTTTTTTTTTACTTTAATCTAAAAAAATTACTGTAAGAGTTTGAACTCTTCTGATTCAATAAATTATTTTTAAATAAATTTTTATATTTTTAAAAGTAATTAATCATTTATGGAAATTATTATTAATAAACTTTAATAAAATTGATAACTTAATAATAAGTTTCGATAAATAAGAATAAGCAGATGATTCGACGCATGCGCAGTATAGGTGTCAATAATTGGGGCTAAGGTATGTCAATAATTAGATCAATCAGTTTTTTAGCCTGTCAATAATTGGTGTCTCCGGAAAATCTATTTAATTATTTAAAATTAATTAGTAAATATCAGTGATTATTATTTTAAAAAAAGAAATTAATTGGTAAAAAGATTACTTGAGACATTACCACAACTAAAATTCAACGATATTGATATTTGATTGCTTAAAAAAAAATCAAATCAAAACTTTGTCTCTTATCGTGTCAATAATCGGGGCTTTTACCTTATTTACAATTTATAACTTGAAAAAAAAAAAAAGTAATTTATTTTAATGAGAGAATTTTTTCAATAAATATTTTTGCAACACTTGTAATATAAAAAAGTACTTGAACGCGTGATTTAAAAAGGTAGGAACTTTTTTACACATTAAACCTTTAAAGAGATAAAGTACACTTATAAAAATGAATCTTAATATTGAAGTTTGAATTATTATCGCCGTTTAAAGACACGAGAGCCAGCCTCGGATGATATTGATTTATAAAACTCGTAAGTTAATTCGACTTTAAAATTTTTTCATTGAAACTTTTTATTGCATTTTGTGTAGAAACTTTTTCATTGGAGCTGATAAGGGAAAATTGTTAAAAGATTATGAAAAAAGTGTGAAAATAAAAAAAAAACAAAATAATAGAACGTCAGTCAGGTTCAGAGACAAATTGCACGGCATTATTTAAAATCCAAAACAAAGTTAACCGCTGGCCTTAAAAAAATTCAATTGTCTCGAGTTTTAATTAAAGTTTACTATTATTTAAATTTATTTTTGTTTTAATTATATTTATGAGTTAAATAATAAAAAATAGAGGTTATTGTATACTGTAGTGTTTATTGTTTATAATTGCAGAGAATTTTTAGCGCCGGGTGCACCGTGTGAAATAAATATTGATGGAAAAACAATGGATCGAGTTCACCAGGAAATGAAAAGTCCTAGTAGATTTACATTTGACGCAGCTGCTGAGCATGTTTATACACTTTTGCTTAAAAAGGATTGTTATCCTAGATTTATACGCTCAGATCACTATCGAAATCTTCTGGCTGCTGGTATTCAGCCGTTGCAAAAGAAACGGTGAGTATTAATTATTAAATTTGCAAAGTCTATATTTATAAACTGAAAAAAAAAATTAAAATTTTAAAAATTTTCTTGACCCAAAAATAGATTAATATTCTTAATAATTAATGAGAATATTTTTTATTGATTAAAGTAATCTTTATTTAATTTAAGTAAATTAATTATTGAGCCAAGAAATTTTTTTCAGGACAATTATTTTTCTTTAATTAAAAAAAGAGGCTTTTTTAAATAAATAGTTTGTTAAATTATAAGTTTCAACATTATAAATTGATTTTTTTAAGAAATTTATCAATTTTTGCTTATTATTTGGTATGTTAGTCAAAATGGCTGATGATGCGAAGTGGCGCACGGTGTTTAAAATTGAAACTATAAAATTGCGGGAAATTTAAATTTCTATTCAAATTGATCTATTAAAATTTTTGTGCTTATTGTATTAAATTGAAGTAATTATTAATGAAATTATTACAAAAAAAAATTTTGATCTAATAAATTAAAAAAATTTACCAGGCATTTTTTTTTAAAACTAAAAAAACTCCTAATAAATATACATAAAATTGCCATTTATTTGAAATAAAAATAAAAAAATTCAATTATTTATTTATTATTAATTTGAAATAAATTTTAATTATGAAATAATTTTAAAATTTTACTTTAAATTAAAAAAAAAAATACAACGATATCTGTTGACAGTACATCTAAGTAATCTTTGTTTAATTCAAATAAATTAATTATTGAGCCAAGAAATTTTTTTTTTGACAATTATTTTTCTTTAATAAAAAAAAGAGACTTTCTAAATAAAAAGTTTATTAAATTATAAATTAATTTTTTTGAAGAAATTTATCAATTTTTACTTATTATTTGATATGCTGGTCAAAATGGCTGATTACACGAAGTGGCGCAAAATGTTTAAAATTGAAACTATAAAATTGCGGGAAATTTAAATTGATCTATCAAAATTTTTATGCTTAGTATATTAAATTAAAGTAATTTTTAATTAAACTATTACAAAAAAAAAATTTTGATAAAAAAAAAACTACTAAATAAATATTCATAAAATTGCCATTTATTTTAAACGAAAATGAAAAAATTCAATTATTTATATTATTAATTTGAAATAAATTTTAAAAATTGGCACAAAGAGCAAAGAGTGTGTGCTGACACACGAGTACCAAAAAGCTTTATCCACTTAAGAAACATAATTTTTAATAAATGCTGCTATAAAATAAAAAAATTAATCAACTCTAAAAAATTTCTTTAATTAATAAAAATAAAAATTTTCTTGCATAATTAAACTGTCTAAAAAAATAAGAACAAAGAGTAATCAAAACTGTGCCCTCAGGTTCTTCGGATTCGGCGGACAAGCAAAGAAAAAAACCGCAGCATCAGCAGCAGGAGGCGGCTTGCAGGGAAACATGAGCAGCGGAAGCGGGGGACGTAGACGAGGTAGCGATCGCAGCCTCTCGGGATCAGCCCACGAGCTGGCCGTTTGTGGTATTCGGGACGTCAACGTGGCCCCCAGGGTTCCTCACTCCCACAGTCAATCGAATCTCACTGACATCCCTTACAGGTACAGCTAAAATAATCCTCTCAGAGCTTACCGGCAATGTGTGACAACGTCAATCCACTTGACATTCACAACACACACAGTCATTTATGATGCATCGCTTTGTCATTTGGCCCAGAATAGAAGTAAAGTTCTAAATATAACTTGATATTTTTTTTTCTTCAACAATATTGTCATTGTTAAATAATTAGCATTTAATTTTTGTTAAATTAATTCGAGTTTAAGGCAGTACAATAATAGTTATTAATTTCGAGGTTGAAACATTGGTATTTTCAGGGGAGATCTCGCTGGTATCGTATCCCCTGGCAGGGCTAGTCCACATAATGTTCAGTAAGTCGACAACCCTCATGCTTCACGTGATTTTATCCATTGACGTCTATACTATAATTGTCGTCGTTTTTATTATTAAAGTTTAATAGATGATAATTTAATAAAATTATTTTTTATATTACTTCTATACTAAAATGCATCAATATATCTTCATCTGGATAATATTATCTCGATATTGCTATTTTTTATCTCAAGATTGTGTATTTGCTTGTGTATTTTATGTTGCTAAATTATTTATTTGCATCATCTACAACTATACCTACTAAACTCTGTATTATCTACTCTGCTGCTATTGATTACCTGATAACTATTGATGTCTTCGTACTTTCAACCCTCATTTTTAAGATTTTACATTACTCGGCTACTCAATTCCGCAAAATACTTTTTTTTTTTTTATTACTATTACTATTTTTATTTAGTAATTATGCAGTTTTAATTTTGTTAAAATAAACTTGAGGAGTTATATTATGCACTTGGAAGGCTGAAAAAAAATTTTTGATCAATTTTTTTTAAGAGGCTTTTTAATAAATTATATCAAAATTTAGTAATTATTTACAAATGAGGTTTATCATTTTAATTTTCATTTTTTTGAACGAAATATTTTTTTTGAAAATTTTAATTAATTTTTTTTTTTGAAAAGTATATTAAAAAATGAACAATTAAAAAAAAAAAGTTGATTAATAAAATTTTAACAAATTTTACAAATTTTCAACAAAATTTATAAATTTTTTAGAAAATTGTGATATACAACTTTTTCTTTTTTTATTTGTTCGTTTTTTTTATGTACTTTAAAAAAAAAAAAAAAAAACATATCAAAAAAAGATATATCAAACATATATCAAAAGCAAAAAAGCTATCGAAATATTAATTTTTTGATATTTTCGATATCTTCACCATAAATCCGCCGTAAAAACAAGCAGAAGAAAAAAAATTAAAAAATGTTAATTTTTCACCTAGATATGGCCAAAAATAGGTTTGACCCTACTCGTAAAAAATTACCGAAAATTTACAGACATTTATTAATAATTTTTCACTTAAATAACAATTTTTTTTTTTTACAAATTATTATTTTTCTCGCTTCTGTGGAAGATTTACAGAAGTTTTTTTAAAAAAGATTACTTGCGTTGAGCACGATATCTTTAATTTAAATCCAAAAATTTTTTTTTATTTATAACGTCTTCATAAAAAATAATCAATTTTCGCTAAAAATTTTAGCGTTAATTATTTATAAAAATAGATAATATTCATCAAAATTATTAATCTTTGGATCAATAACTGAAAAAAATAGTGTAAAAATTAGTCTGATTTTATCAGTCATTTTTAATAAATCTTTCTCACCTTTGAAATTTTTCTATATACTATATACTATAAAAAAATGTCCAAAAACAAATTAAAAAACTAAATTTTTTTAAAATTCCAAGTGCATAGAGCCCCTTCAAAAATTAAAATTCAAAATGTATGTTAGATTACCATTTAAATATTAAAATTTCCCGCGCTTGGCGCTGGCTATTTCAAATGAGCCAATAGAATTTCTCGAGCCCGCCATTTTAGTTTCCCCCGCCATCTTGACGTTCTTGAGTGCTAAACCGAATTTTCCTCATAAATCCTTCAAATTTAACGTTAATTAAAAAAAAAAAAATTACTGCATAATTACTAACACTACAACTATCCATTTCTAACCACCTATTTTATGTAAAAAAAATCCGTGTATATTTACTCACAAAAGACTCAACAAAACAAATAAAATCCTTGGATGTAACAAACCAGAAAACGAAACAAAGTGAATGCATGAGAGTGGGAGTGTAAATAAACCTTCTAAAAAATGGTAAAAAACTAAATCATAAAATAAAGTTCTTGTTGTCAGGGATGCTGGTGGAGCGGAGGTAGCTGCAGCTCGCCCTATGGACGACGTGTGCCCGTGGGACGCGGCACCAGGCCCGAGTGTAGAATCAGACGTCGCTGCGGGAACCTCATCAGGTTCGACTGACGAAAGCACCTGCTGGCCGTACCCGAGCACCAGTGGGATTCCCTTGCCGACGGACACGTCATCGAGAACCTCCAGGAAAAATTCATCCCAGCTGGACTCCTGCAGCTCCTCATCGGACGTGAGCCTGGCGATAGCGGAAGCTTCCGACCGGCTGAGAAAGACCTGCGGACTCCAGCACTCGATGAGCAACCCCATTGTCCTCCGGAACTACCCGGGCGGCTCCGTCACGACCAAGGTGAAGCTTGCTGACACCAGCAGGCCGGCCGTAAACTTCACCACGCCCCAGCAGTCCTTCGACTTGCCCCACTATCAGCACCACCACCATCACTTTCACCATCACCCGCACCAGCTCGACGTCAAGAGCGCTCCTGTGCCCGAGGAGGTTGAGACCACCAGCAAGAGCCCCAAAAAGTCCCAGGAGCCGGACTTGAGCAAGCCTAAGGCTCTCGCTCCGTTGATCAGCATCAGCGCCATCGTCGGCGACCTCACTGGCGACTCCGTTGATTCTGAGCCCAGTGTTGATGTTGAGTCCGTCGCTTTTGGAGATGACAGCTCTGCTGATGTGTCTACCATTAGGCAGGACAACACTGCTACTGAGCCGGAAAGTTCCATTTGTTCCGACGCCCCTGAACCGGCAGAGGACGCACAAGTCGTTCCGGTTTGGGTTCCTGAGGACGGTCCGGCGCCCAATCAGCCACAGGCACAGCAGGCTGGTACTTCGACGGAAAAGCAAGACAATAATGTTAATGAAGTTTGTCCTTGGGAAGATGAGTAAGTTTTTTCTTTTTTTTTTTTTTTTATGTGAAATTTGGTAATTTTTTATTATGATTTTTTGAAAGCGAAAAATTGGGGAGTTTTTTTATTCTCAGATTTGGAAAATAAATTTTTTGATTATATTTGTTCAAAATTGTAATATTTGGTAAAATTTTTTAGATGTTTATTTGTAAGTATGTTATTTTTTTTTTTTTTTTTTTTTTATAGAAAATTGAATAAGAAAGAACAAGATGACCCTGGATTTCATCCAAGAATATACTGAGTGAAAAAAAATTTAGATAGTAGCTAGTATAATCCAGATTACAATAAGTATAATCCCGATTACAATGAGTATAATCCAGATATCACGCAGTATAATCTGGATTTTTTTTAGCTACTATGAAATTTTTTTTCACTACAGATATCACTGAGTATAATCTGGGATGATATCCAGTGTCATCTTGTTCTTTCCGAGTAGTTCATTTTTCTTTGTTTTGTATCATGAAAAAAATATAAGTTTGTAAACTTTAATTAATGATCTGTATATTCAATTTTTAAACTAAGAAAAAAAAACAGTAAAACCATCATGAAAAAAAAAAAAAGAAAAATTACATTAAAAACATTAAGTGTTTTAAATTTAAAACTAAAAAAATTGTAGTTTGAAAAAATATTTTTAAAATTCAAACTTTCAATGATAATTTTCACATATCTTTGGTAATATTTATATTTTACAATGTAACTCTGAAAAAATTTATAAAAATTACTGCAAATATTTACAAGTTGGGTCAATCATTTTAATTTTCATATTTTTGAACGAAATTTCTATTTTATTTTATTGATATATTTTTTGAATGTTGATTATCGAAATTTTAACAAATTTTCAAAAAAATTTATAAATTTCTTAGAAAATTATGATATTCAATTTTTTTTTTTTTTTTAATTATTCATTTTTTTATGTACTTTAAAAAAAATATCAAAAAAAAAGAAAATCGAAATTTTATTGAAAAACATGAGCCAAAATTTTTTCTAACTTTTGAAGGCAAAAAAGCTATCGAAATCTTTATTTTTTCTTTTACTTTTTATCATAAATGTGCCGTAAAAACAAGCAGAATAAAAAAAAATTTGAAAATGTTAATTTTTCACCTAGTTATGGTCCAAAATGGAGTTGACTCCACTTGTAAATAATTACCAAATTTTTTAGATGTTTATTTATAAGTATTGTTATTATTTTTTTTTTTTTTTTTTCAATGGAAAATTGAATAAGTTATAAAAAAAAAAATGTTGATATAATTTAATCATTTTTTGAGTTTGTATTTTACTCTACAAATATTATATTTCAAAATATTAATGAATAATGAGACAAGTAGTTTGTTTTTTTATTTTTCAAAAATAAAAAAAATTCAATTTTGTAGACTTTAATTAATGATCTGTACATTCAATTTTTAAATTAAAAAAAAAAAAACACGAAAGTCTTCATAGAAAAAAGAAAAAGAGAAAAGTTACATTATAAATATTAATAAGTGTCGCTTTAAATTTAAAACAAGAAAAATTGCGAAAAAATATTCCTAAAAATCTAACTTTTAATGTTAATTTTCACATATCTTTGGTAATATTTATATTTTACAATGTAAAATCTCTTAAAAAATTTGTAAAAATTTATTTATAATATAATAATTTTTCCCTTTTTCTTTTTGCCGTATCGCATTTAAAAAATTACCAATAGTTTTACGACTTTTTGAAATATTTAAATTAATCCGCAAAAAAATGACAAAATTTTACAAAAATAATTATAATAAATCATTAATAATCACCAATTAATTATCGATTTTCTTTGACCTAATAAAAAATTTTGTCGTTTCTAAATCATCTGCGGTTCAGTAGTCTTGCATAACCTTTGAATAATACTAACACTAACAAATTTGATTCCAGGGAGAATTGTAAAGTGGACACACCCTATGTAAAGACCTACGCGACCTTAGGTTACTTGTAAACCCTTTATCGACTTACGAGAGAGTTAATTACTGCACTAACCACCTAAATCGTTTTACACGCTATTCACACATGGATTACACGTTTAATCTCAATGTAAGCGCCACCTTGCGGCTGTTCTCAAGTGTCTTAAGTATTAAAGTTAGCATTAATTAGAATTAAGTTCAATATGTTTGCCTAATTATCATTATTAAAGAACAAATTCGGTATTTTTTAGTTAAAATTTAATCATCCAAATCAGTATGATTTGATTAACGATCGCAGAATCTGGTAACTCGGCCTACTAATTAGATAATGGATTCAAAGCGTTTTTGAATATGTATGTTAATTAACATATATTATCTACATTATATTATTGTATTATTAATATATATTTATAAGCGTTACTGCAATTGCGGCTAATATCAATATATTAAAGTTGCAACGTAGTCGTCAGTAGATTGTTGCGTAGAAGTTTGTTAGATTTAAATTAATAGAATATATGATAATATGATAGTGTTAAAAAAAAAAAAAAAAAAAAGTAGTCTGGCTATTAAAGGCGTTTATGTAGTAAGCTAAAGTCAAAAGATTACTAACTTTTTATGAAATTGATTGGGGTCTTAAAAAAATTTTTAAGTAAATCAATAATCTTATAATGATTTATAATTATTTTTTATTTACCTGAAATATTTTTTAGGCATCTATTTTAAAATAATTTTAATTACAAGGTAAAAGACCCAATTATTGACACTATAAGAAACAAAGTTTTGATTTGATTTTCTTTTAAGCAATCAAATATCAATATCGTTGAATTTTGTTTGTGGTAATGTCTCAAGTAATGTTTTTACTAATTAATTTCTTTTTTTAAAATGATAATCACTGATATTTATTAATTAATTTTAAATAATTAAATAAATTATCCGGATACACCAATTATTGACAGGTTAAAAAACTGATTGATCTAATTATTGACATACCTTGACCCCAATTATTGACACCTATACTGCGCATGCGTCGAATCATCTGCTTATTCTTATTTATCGAAACTTATTATTAAGTAATCAATTTTATTAAAGTTTATTAATAATAATTTCCATAAATGATTAATTACTTTTAAAAATATAAAAATTAATTTAACTATAATTTATTAAATCAGAAGATTTCAAACTCTTACAGTAAATTTTTTAGGTTAAAGTAAAAAAAAAGCGTCGTAGCGCTGTCGAATGGCTGTCAATATGAGATTCAACTTAAAAATTATCAACTAGTTATTGACACCCATTATTTAAATATTATAAAGCATACAATTAATTTCGATTATTCAATTTTATAAATTTTTCATATATTGTCAATTAAAAAAAAAAAGATCATATAATTAGATGAAGAAATGAATTTAAACTCAGCATTTAAAAAAAATGCTTCTCTAATCAAAGTTGTTAAGAAAATAAACGTTCGTAAGCTGGTTTGATGAACTGGTGCTTTTATTTTTTTTTTAATAATTAATATTTAATATTTTGAACTGAGTAATTTTTTTCAATTTTTTAATTAATTAGAATTTAATAAAAATGTATATGATAGTTATTCTTATTACAGATAATTAAATATATTTCAAAATAATTTAGGGTGTCAATATTTAGGCCCCTGTCAATAATTAGAGCTTTTACCTTATACTGATTTTTTGCTTTTAACCATCAAACTCTTACCAATTTACTGTATTAGCAAATATTTTTATTAAAAAACCTCCTCTTATTCACAGCTTCATATTTATACGCTCGATATCTCTGAAACGAGACTGATAATTCATTAAATTCTTTTTGCAATTGATTTATTGGACTGAAATGCAAGTCTCCGTCGTAAATTATTGCATTTGAGCTTGTAGTTTAATTGTAATTTTAAAAAAACATCTAAATACGGCAACTAACAGCTGATAGAGCGACGGCCATTTTGAAAAGTATGCTTTGATAAAGAGCGCTTCAATTAATTCAAAAATTGGCGGGAATTCAAATTTTTTTAAAAGTTTAAAAGAAATTTATTTATTTAATTATTGATACAGTAGTTTTTTTCAATTTTTTAATTAATAAAAATTTATATGATAGTTATTCTTATTACAGATAATTAAATAAATTTAAAAAACATTTAAGGTGTCAATATTTAGACCCCTGTCAATAATTAAGGCTTTTACCTTAATTTTAAAATTCAAAAAAACACTGATCTGCCATAAGGTTGTATATTAAAAATCTAATTTTTAATAATTTTTTTAAACAATCGGTAAAGAATTTTCAATTTTTAGGAGATCACAATATAATTAAACTTATCAAAATTAAAAAATATAAATTTATATCTACTAAGTCTTACACATGAACGTCCTTAAAAAAAAAAGTTCCGACTTTAAAATGTACAAGTTACTGAATTAAAAAAAGCAAAAGCCATTACTGTATTACTAATTACTAAAAATTGCTAACGCTAACTGCTGCTAATTTAATTAATCAAAATGTATTGAAGGTTAGTTGATTAATCAAAAGGATTATTGATTGGATGCGCTTTGAAGGGGACTGTTGAAATGAGCCCTTTGACCTCCCTCTCAAATCGCAGAGCAATTAATTTTATAAATGTGAACTTTTAAATCAATATCGGCTTAATTTTTAATCTCAGCAACGATTTGAACAAAAGCCTTTGTGATAGTCAAGAAGAATATAAAATATTTCAAGTTATTATTATTATTGTCAGACTATTTTATAATCTATTTGAAGTAAGAGTTTAAAAAGTCTCGATGAACCTCTACAGTTTACAGTTTGACGATTTATTCATAATATTTATCAAAAATTTCAATTATAATCTGTGTAATTAATATAAAATTATTAATAAGTCATAAAATGTAATGATTGTTTAGTAAATGCGTAGATTTATTGATAAATATTGTTAGTTTGTGAAATAGAACGCTGTTGACAAGATGGCGGGTGTCTACAAAATGGCGGCTTAAATTCTAACCTCATTTTAATTTAAAAAAAAATTTTTTTTTAATTGTTACGCTTGTGAGACTGATACTGCCCCAGAATTGCAAGCTATCAATTAAATTTGAAAGTAATTAATTTATTAATTAAAAAAATTAAATTAATCTACTTAATAAACTTGAGAGCAGTCGCTTAGAAAAAAAACAAATTAGAGTAAAGTCGTCGAGCTCAATTGTTAGCGTGATTAATTGTAGCAAAAAAATTGTATAGAATAATTCTCTCGCGCTTAAAAAAAAAAAAAGTAATAATGAATAATGATAATTAAAAATTGTAATCGTAAGTAATGAAAAACTATATAAGCAATTAATTGACTTGCCATGGTGTGAATTTTATGTTTATAATTATCGATGTCGTGGGCACTGATATTACGCTAATTAGCCATTATCATTTAACAATCATAATCATTTCAAGCCATATATACCCATTAATTAATTAATTAATTAATTTATTTATTAACCTTTAATGTTCTTGTTTAAAATATTTTAACCTCCAATACCAGTTTAAATTTTTATGAAAATGAAGTTAGCCGACATTTCAAAATTTATTGAAATAATTTCAATTAAAAAAAAAAAATTGCACATGTAAAAAACTTGAAAAACTATAAGTGCATTTTTTTAAAAATATCTTTTTAGTTGTAATTTAATTAATAAAAAAAAAATCAAAAATTTTTAGACATCTGCTAACTTCAATTTTTCCATTAGTTCCTTTTTCGGCCGCTTGGCGCTATAACTGATTTCTTATTGGCTGACGCTCTATATGAGAGTTTTGATTGGTTAATCGGCCTAACCTTAAAATCTTGATTAAAAAAATGAATTTTTAATTAATAATATTGTTTTTTAATAAAAATAAAAAGGTGAAAATAGATTTTATTAAACAAGAACACTATTATTTAAAGAACTTTAATGTTCTTGTTTAAAATATTTTAACCTCCAATACCAGTTTAAATTTTTATGAAAATGAAGTAAGCCGACATTTCAAAATTTATTGAAATAATTTCAATTAAAAAAAAAATTGCACATGTAAAAAACTTAAAAAACTATAAGTGCAATTTTTGAAAAATATCTTTTTAGTTATAATTTAATTAATAAAAAAAAAATCAAAAATTTTTAGACATCTGCTAACTTCAATTTTTCCATTAGTTCCTTTTTCGGCCGCTTGGCGCTCTAACTGATTTGTTATTGGCTGGCGCTCTATAGGAGAGTTTTGATTGGTTAATCAGCCTAACCTTAAAATATTAATTAAAAAAAATGAGTTTTTAACTATTAATATTGTTTTTTAATAAAATAAAAAGGTGAAAATAGATTTTATTAAACAAGAACAGTATCATTTAAAGAACGTACCATCGAATTAGCTCATGTACATTCAAAAAAGTAACAAATGAATGAAATTATTTTTATTGGAAGTACATATGAGTTTGATTGTAATAAAGTACCTGAAAAGAAAGGAACCTTGGTATTAAAATAATAAATAAATAATAAAGAGTATTATTTGAGGCCTACTTGGTTTGTAATAAGTACAATTGCTTTTAAATTAACGCCTAAATATATAAATATATATCTATAATTTATCAGTATGAATCAGATAAATTTGATTAATGATTAACTAATAAACGAATCAGCCATTCGTTTATTTATAAATAATTTATCAACTTATATGTACTCCCAATGCATTTAAACATAATAATAAATTTTTGTACGCGAATAAAATCGTCCACGTAGACTAATCGACTATTATAATTATTAATTAATTATTATTAAACAGTTAATCCTGGCATACCTCGGTAAATAAAGTAACTAAATAAATTAACCCAACATTGTTCACTTAGTCGCGTAACTAGTTGATCTTTTTTCTGGATTGTTAATCAATAAATTGTTTAAGAATTAAAGAAAGCGATAGAAAGACTTGTTCATAAATAACTATATAAATAAATAATATAAATAATAATAAAGCCAGTAGATTAATCGATGTCTACATAAATTAGCTTCAGATTAACGCGACCTATTGTCTTTGATTATTGATTAATGATAATGACCTCAAACTTGCTGACATAGTTGATTGTAATCATCGCTGATAATATATTGAAATATATTGTAATAATAATATTACTAATTGTCGATGCAGGTGATTGTAGAAGTTGCGATTAGTCTCGTAGGGCTGTAATTAAAAGTAAATTACTTATTAATTAAAAGTCTAATGATTAATGATATCTTTATTATACTGGTATATATTATTAATTAATGATGATATATATTATATACATATATATGAGTAATGTTAAATGCTAGTGGCCAAGTGCTAAGAAGCACAATTTTATTTTTAATGCTATGTTAAATGTTATTGACTTTAAATAAATCGATTATTTGAAAATATATTCATTTTTTTTTTTATTAAATTTGATTTTTTTTTTAATTCCAAAAAATAGTATAAGCTCATAAATTTGTATATATGATGGATCTTTATGACAATTTTTAATTTTTTTCTATTAATTAATTTAGAATTAAAAAAAAAATTTTTTTTAAATTGCAGGTATTAAAATTTTCTAAATGTAAATTTTTTTTTTTAATATTTAAAAATTTATTTTTCAATAAAATTAATTATGAAAATTTTCAAATGTCGGCTAATTTAATTTTCATTGAAAATTAAGTTAGCCATCTAAAAATTTTTAAAAAATATTTTATTATTTTCATTTAATTAATAAAAAAAAATCAGAAAATTACAAATGTTGGCTAATTTTAGTATAAATTAGCCGACGTTCAACAATTTTTGATTTTTTTTTATTAATTAAATTGGAAGTAAAAAAATTTTTTTTTTAAATTGCAGATATAGAGTTATTAAAATTTTCTAAATGTGAAATTTTTTCTTAATAATTTTTCAATAAAATAAATAATGAAAATTTTCAAATGTCGGCTAATTTAATTTTCATTGAAAATTAAGTTAGCCATCTAAAAATTTTTAAAAAATATTTTATTATTTTCATTTAATTAATAAAAAAAAATCAGAAAATTACAAATGTTGGCTAATTTTAGTATAAATTAGCCGACGTTCAACAATTTTTGATTTTTTTTTATTAATTAAATTGGAAGTAAAAAAATTTTTTTTTTAAATTGCAGATATAGAGTTATTAAAATTTTCTAAATGTGAAATTTTTTCTTAATAATTTTTCAATAAAATAAATAATGAAAATTTTCAAATGTCGGCTAATTTAATTTTCATTGAAAATTAAGTTAGCCGACATCTAAAAATTTAAAAAATTTTTTTTTTTTTTCATTTAAAAATATGCATTTGTAAAAAACTTTAAAAATTATAAGTGCAATTTTACAAAAATATTTTATTATTTTAATTTAATTAAAAAAAAAAAATCAGAAAATTAAAAATGTTGCCTAATTTTAGTAGTATGAATTAGCCGTTCAACAATTTTTGACTTTTTTCTATTAATTAAATTAGAGAAAAATATTTTTAAAAAATTGCACTTATAGTTTTAAAAGTTTTCTAAATGTGAAATGTTTTCTTTTAATTTTTTAAAAATAATAACTTTTAATTAAAATAAATTACAAAAATTTTCAAATGTCAGCTAATTAAATTTTAGTTGAAAATTAAGTTAGCCAACATCTGAAAATTAGAAAATTTTTTTTTGATTTGTAAAAAACTTTAAAAATTATAAGTGCAATTTTTAAAAAATATTTTATTGCTCTCATTTAATTAATGAAAAAAAAAAAATTAAAAATGTTGACTAATTTTAGTATTATAAATTAGCCGACGTTCAACAATTTTTTATTTTTTTTCAACAGTTAAATTACGAATAGAAAAATATTTTTAAAAAATAACACGTATAATTTTTGAAATCTTTTATAAGTAGAATTAATTTTTTTGATTTTTTCAAGTAAAAAAAATTATAAAAATTTTCTGTCAGCTAATTTAATTTTCATGAGTTGTGAATGTTTGAAAAATTTTTTCATATTCTTTTTTAATCATTTCTTCTATTTTTTCTACAGCTTTTAAAATCCGGAAAAATATAAAAAAAACAATTCTTTTTATTTCATTACTCCCGAATAACAACTGCATAACACATTCTACCAAAATTCCGTGAAATGAAGTTTTATAATTACATAAATATAGAATTTCTCTTAAATTTCTAAATTTTATAAATGTTCTAATGGTAGTATCAAACATTTTAACAATTATTTTAATTACTACACTGAAAAAATAAAAATAGAATCAAAATAAATATTCTTAATTTAAGTAAAATTTACTTAGACCAATAAAAATTTCTTAATTTAAGAATTTTTCTGTTCAAATCAAGTAGATAAAGATACTAGTATTCCTGTTTAAAAATATTCATTGAAAAAAATTCACTATCGTTAGATTTGAATTTTTTTCAATAGAATGTTGGTATGAAATTATATATATTTTAATCTAAATTATAAGAATGGATGTGCTCAAATTAAGCAATCTACCTTTTTTTTTTTTTTTTTTAAGATAATTACATTATACTTATCCATAATTCCAAAAGTATACCAAAAAATAAAGAAGAAACTAATCCAGAACAAAGCAAAAATTTTTTAAGGTTATGTCGGAACAAAGTGCTCAAACTGGCACTTGCAAGGAAATTTAAACAAAAAAACTGATAAATTATAGATGTACAAGGAATTTATTGATTATGAAAGGATTAACTAATAATTTTAGTAGCATTGACACCGATCAGCCGGACAATCTGGCGGGTTGACAAGGCATTTATCCATACAATAGACATCAGCGCCTTTTCTTCCACTGAATTCGCCAACAGCGTCGCATTGTTCTCTAGGGACACAAATGATTAATTAGTTAAACTGATGATTTACTACCTTAACAATAATTACAATAATAATAATTGGACAATTCATACTTACGGACAAGAACAAACAGTCTGTGGACAATTAGGCGGATAGCGAAGACAGTTTTCAAGGCACCAATCATTCATACCGGGAATGAAGCGGTAAAGTTTTGTCGGTTGGCAAGTCTGAGCTCTGATAACCAGCGGATATACATTATCGTTATTATTATTATTGCTACCAGAAGTACGGTAGTCCTGATAGTACAATAGAAAGGGATTGTACTGGTGGACAAACATCGGAGGGACTCCCGAAGTACTTGTTACAATATTAACATCCGCGCAATTGCGAAAAGTTTCCGGTTTTCCGCAACCAACGGCCTCGGTTCCATTCTCGCAGGTACCCCACATATTACCTGAAATTATATATAACACTAATTTAATATATATATATATATATGAAGCTAAATTTAACTGTAATTACCAAATTACGCCCATCGTAATTTCGGATTTTTAAGTAAAAAAAATTGTTTTTGATTATATAAACCAAGTCAAGACCTTGGACCTTACTTTCTCTGGAAATTGATTTACCCAATCTGTATTGAAGTTATCTGGTGGCATTGAGTCTGGACACTCGCATTAACTCGGTAAATTATTTACGAGAAAAAACACTTACTGTAATTTATTTTTATTATTATTTTTGATAAACACCTGTCAGATAATTCCACTGGATAACGCACTGAGAGCAGGTTATGTACGGAGGCAGTGTTACTCTGTAATTAAATATCGCCTTCTTTGGGCTGTCTTCGGGGATAATAAACGCCGGTTCTCGTGTTCCTGATAAGTACAGAGGGTACTTGTCGAAACACTCTTGAGTTTCTCGTTGGGAAGGATTGTTGTGTGGGCAAAGGTTAAGTTCGAATCTGCCTTGGTGGTTCGCTGTTAGTTCTATCTCGACGTCGATGTCCTAAAAAAATTAAATTAAATATAATAAAATAGAAATTGGTTTAAAATTAATAAATAATTTTATTTTGCTGATTTTTATTTCATTTATTTGTCATCAATATTCGTTTTAGTCACTTGGAACATCAAGATGGAGGGTTGTTACAAAATGGCGGATTAGAAATAGATCCACGCGCCATCTCTGTTACTTAATTTTAATTTTTTAACAGTATTAATATTTTTATAAATAAGCAAGAAGAATATTTAATGAAAATAAAGTTTGTAAAGTTTATTTTAAAAAAAGAAATTATTTTGAAAATATTTTTAAAATATTTTCAAACTGAGTTTTTAAAAAAAAATTTTCAATTTATTGAATTTTATTGCTAATTTATATTATGTAATATGAATTTATAGTAAATATTCGTTTTAGTGGCTTAGAACATCAAAATGGAGGGTTGTTACAAAATGGCGGATTGGAAATAGATCCACGCGCCATCTATATCACTTAATTTTAACTTTTCAACAATTCTAATATTTTCGAATTTGATTAGCAATAAAATATTTATAAATAAATAGTTTTTTATGATTTTTATAAATTATAAAGAAGAATATTGAATGTTTTGAATATTTAGAAAAATTTAATTGAAAATATTTTTAGAATGAGTTTTTTAAAAAAAATGTTCAATTTATAAAATTTTACAGCTAATTTCTATGATTTAATATGAATTTGTGGTAAATAATCATTTTAATGGCTTAGAACATCAAGATGGAGGGTTGTTACAAAATGGCGGATAAGAAATAGATCCACGCGCCATCTGTGTCACTTGATTTTAACTTTTCAACAGTTTTAATTGATTTTAATATTTTTAAATCTGATTGGCGATATAAAACTAATAAACAAATAGTTTTTGATGATTTTTATAAATATTAAAGAAGAATATTGGATTAAAATAAAACTTATTTAAAAAAAATAAATTAGTTTTTAATAAAAATATTTAAAAAATACTGAGTTTTTTTTTTTTTAAATGTTCAATTTATGAAATTTTACAATTTTATATTCTAATTTCAATGATTTATTATAAATTTATGGTAAATATTCATTTTAATGACACAGAATATCATGATATCGAGTTATTACAAAATGGCGGCATAGAAATAAATCAAGGTGCCATCTTTGTTACTTTATTTTAATTAGAAGAAATAATATGTATCAAATATATCATTAATTTTCAATAATTAAAACTTAGTTAAGTAATTTTAAATTTAATTTTTGTTAAAAAATAAAAAATAAGATCACTTGTACTCCTTTTTAGAAATAATTAAAAATTAATTAGATAAAAATAAAATTTATGTTAAAAATTTATAAAAGTAGAAAAATTCAGTTTTAAATTCAGAATATTAATTTTATAAAATTTTACTCTACATAGGACAAAAATTTGTATTCCTCGACGCGTTTTAATGTAAATAAAAACAAAGATGATGACTGAAAAGTTGTTAACTGTCATAGCTACTAATTAGTTATGATTAATCTTAACATAATTGAAAAACATACCTGTCCAGCGGTGTAACGTCTAACAATAGTTCCTCTTGCGAATTCACCACCCGCTTCATGAGGTCTAGGATGACTTAAATGATAAGCGTCACCGCAAACTCCGCATTTTCCCTCATTTTGGACCCAGTGAACTTTAAATTACAGGTTAAATATTATTCATCAATATATTGCAATTTTTGAAATTTTTATACCAAACTAATTATACAACAAATATTTTTTTAAATTTGCACATCAACATTTTTTTTTTTATTTTCAAATGTTGAATTTCTTACAGAAATTAATTTAGCAGATATTTGATAATTTAAAAAATTTTTTTAACAAATAAATTATGGGGAAAAAAAATTAGAAAAAAAAAAATTGACAAGTAGAAATTTTGAAAAATTAAAAATGCAATTTTTTGAAAACAATTTTTCTGAATAAATTTATTTGTTAAAAAAAATTAAAAAATTGTTAAGTGACAGCTAAATTTAATATTATATAAATTATGACTAAAAAAGTACTAAAGTTAGCCGACTTATAATTATTTATTCTTTTAAATTTTTTACAAATAATTTCGTTTTTTTTTTTTTTTTTAAAAAAAAATTCTTAAAATTTTTAGATGTCGGCTAACTTAATTTTTGTAAAAAATAGACCTGTAAAAATAAAAAATTCAATTTTTTAATAATAATTCTTTAGAATGAAAATTAAGTTAGCTGGCATTTAAAAATTTATTGCAAAATAAAAAAAAATTTCCATTTGTAAAAAACTTGAAAAACTGTAAGTGCAATTTTTAAAAAATACTTTTTAGTTCTAATTTAATAATTAAAAAAAAATCAAAAAATAAAATACGTCAGCTAACTTTAGTGTTATTTTTTTAGAACAAATTTGTTAAAAAAATTATCAAGTGACTGCAAACTAATATAATTTTTTCCAAAATAATTTTTTATAAAAATTGTAAATATTTATTGAATTTAATTTCATAAAATAAAATTGTACAGTACCTGCATAACCTCCACAGAACAATTCATTGTCATTATAATTTACCGGATTGGGATATCCGAAGCGCCACATGCTGTTCCTGGAAGGCGGATCCATCATACGGCCATGTCCGTCAACGCCGACATTTTCTAAAGCCTGTAGGAAAATTTATAAAATGGTGGAAAGTGAGAAGAAATGAATCTCAAGAAGCAATAACGCAATTGATCAATTTAAAAAAAAACTTACCAATATAATGAGAAGAAAAACTAACGGGCGTGATAGTGACTCCATGGCGAGTCGATAAGAAGTGAGTAGATATAATAATATCTTCGGAATTCCCGGGGCGATCCGGGACCAGGAAGAATATCTAATGAAATTTATATTAATGCCATTAATAATACAGCTTATTAGCATAAGATCTACTGAAAAGGAGCGGCGCTTCTTTTATATAGAACAGAATATATAATACATAATATATGCGGATAAATAATGTAAGGAAATAATTTTTAGCTGGGTACTTTGCTCCAACGGGTTATCGAACGTCCTAGAGCGTTAGTGGATTTAAATGATTTAGTATTACCGCTGATTTATTGAGAGTCCTCGATTATAAAATAAAATAAAATATATATATTTGTATTTAAACTTTCGAATAACTCTACCTTGACACTCTACGTGACAAGTGATTCAACTTGAATTACTTGTTAATTAAAATCTTTTTTTTTTTGGCTCATTCAAATTGGATGTCAATTTTTTTCTGGTAATCTTTAATCTAAAAAAAATTATTTTTTTTTTTTCAGTTCTATTAAATTTATTAATAAATTTTTTGGTACAGATTTAATTACCGATAGTCCGATATTAAAATTTTTCGTATCATTAAATTAAAAATGAAAAAAAAAATTGTCGTCGGCCTCGGATGGAAATGCTAATCCTAAATGCATTATCTGATGAATAAATTTGTCGAGTGAAATTGGATTTGTAAAAAAGGTTTGATTTTTTATTTTGTTTTATCTGGAGAGAAATTATTTTTTTTTTTCCTGTCATTGACCGTCAGATTGTTTTTTAAGTACAATAAAACTGAGTTCAACACCAAACCGGACTTTCGAGGATGTAATAAATTATTGTAAGTACTAAAATTTACTTTTGGCTTTGATTAAAAAATAATCATTTATTTGACAGCTCCCTCGATAGATTTTAATTAAGCGGTTATCACTTGAAGATTAAAGATATAGTCTGTTATTGTTTTTATTACCGTAAGTAGACATTACAAAAGCTCATTTAAGATAATTTTATTCTGTACTCATTTTTTTAGACATTAATTTATAATAAATTTGATACTTTGCAGGTAAATGAGAGTTTTTAAAGATAATAATTGCAAGTTAAAGATTAATTTTTAGAGGAAAAAATATTTTTTTAAAAAACTTATTTTTTAATAAGAAAAATCTTTAAAATTTATTAAAGGTTAATTTATTAAATATTACTAAAAATTTTTTAATATTTAATAAAAATTTATCTTGAAGAAAAGTACATTTATTAATTGTTAAAAAATTTTTATTAATAGTTAATAATTATTGACTAACAATGGGAGTTTTTAAAGATAAAATTGCAAGTTAAAGTTTAATTTTTAGGTGAAAACAATTTTTCTTTATTAAACTTTTTTTTTATGTAAGAAAAATCTTTAAGAATTTATTAATGGTTAATTTATTTAAATATTACTAAAAATTTTTTAATTAAAAAAAATTTATCTTGAAGAAAAGTACAATTATTAATTGCTAAAAAATATTTATAAATGAATATTTAATAGCAATTGATGAATTTTTTTGGAGTGAAGGCTTATTGTTTACAGCGTCATTTGAAGATTCATAAACAAACAATACCAAAATTATTATAATGAAGATAATATACACTAATAATTTTCACCGCTAAAAAAATGTATTCATTTTATTTTTTATTTTTTTTTTAATCGAAAATTATTAATGATTCTGATCTAATAAAATTTTCTATTGAAGCTATAGCGTTATAAAAAATGTCAAATTTTAATTTTTATACTCACTTTATATTTAAGAGTATGAAAAAATTTTTATAAATAATTATTTATTTATTTTTTGAAAAATCAAAGCAAACTTGTGACGTATTATTTTTCATGAAATTTTCAACAATTTTATTTCTTAAATAAAGAATTAATATAATAATTAAAAAATAACAATTTTACAAAGAAAACTTGTAAATTTACATTCAAAATTTTTTTTCAAATTTAACAAATTTTTTTTTCAACCAAAAAGTTACTGTACACACAAAAAAACAAATTTTTTGCGCCTTCCTTAACATTTTCTTAAACCAAGAAAATTTACACTTCAGTCAAGAATTTTGTTTTTCAGTGTAAGAACAATTTTAATTTCTTCAGCTAAGAAATAATTTTGTCACAAAAATGTTCATTTTTTTTCAAAATAAATTTTTTTTCTCAGTGTATAAATAAATATTTACCCGCAAACTGATAATAAATATTCCTTAACTATCAATAATTATTTATTTACTGTTAATAAATATTTATTAAATCACTTGATGTTAAAAAATAATTTATAAATTTACAAACAGTCAATAAATCTAATTAAGTATTCAAAAATCCTTCTATCAGTGTATAACAGTAATTATAATGAAATAACAAATCTTACCGTTGGATTTCCGATAGACGTCAAAATGGCGATTAGATATTCAAATGGCGTACACGAGCACGTAAGTAGGTAACTTACTTAAAAAATTTGGCGCGAAGCTTAAAACCGCGTCCAACCGCGATCAAGATGAAACTTGTAGTACGGACAGAATTCTGAATTTATCAATATAAAACCTCCGAAAAACATAAAAAAGTTAAAAATTTTACACGTTTGACGGGTTTTTTTTAAACTCACTATCGAAATAAAGCTTGTTTTGGTTCAAAGGGGCGCAACATCACGCCGCGTGTTTTTAATTCGCCTTTTTTTACTTATGTTTTTAGTGTTGTTGTTTGTTTTAAAAAGAATAAAGTTTGAGAGTTTTTGTCCGACGTAAGTGGTAGTGTTGTTGTGATACGCCGAGACCTCGAAGGTGAAAACCAGCAAAAGAAGGGAACGCTTGAAGACCCGGAGGAATACTGAACAGCACGCTTTCGTGCGAAATCCAGTGGCCTATTGTAAAAATAAAAATAAAAATATATTTGTATGTGCACACACATATATATATTCAAGTCTCGGGTAAGAATGGATCATATACATGCGCAAGATTTATTGCGCACTTTTTTTATAATACTATTGTTTTTAGGACGGCGCTTTTTTATCCAGATCTTGATCACACAGATGGCGTCATTAAGCAAATTTGGTGACAAAATTTTGTTCTTGTTCATTGTACGCGGTTCCATCGGTTCTGGCGCAGTGTTGCCAGATAGGTTCATCCATTTTTCTCTTAATAACCACTTAAAAGTCCCTAGATTGAATCAAAAATTATTTTTTTAATTCATTTTTTATGACACTGAAATTAGCAGACGTCTTAAAATTTTTGATTTTTTTTTTTTTAATTAAATTACAACTAAAAAAATATTTCTAAAGAATTCCACTTATAGTTTTTCAAGTTTTTTACATGTGCAATTTTTTTTTTAATTGTTTAGGGTAAATGCACCAGTTGTTGACCGGTCACCAATTAGTTGACCGATGTATAAAAAAAGTTAATTAATTAATATTTTACAAGGGTTTTTTTTTTTTCTTAAAGTATTAAATAAAAAATACGGCATTTAATCATATAATAAAAATTACGCAATTAATTGCGCAGTGATTATAGCTTTAAAATAATATTCTGAGTTTGTTTACAACGCAACCAGCCATAAAGCGGTCAAAAATAACTAGCGTACAATTATTGGAGAGTGAGTGCATTTCATCATTAATTGAGTGATATTTATCGGCATAATATAAAATATTATAGTTTTATTATGTTAATTAAAGATCAGATTCCAACTTTTTTGAAAAAATAAAGTTAAATTCTAAAGAATTCCACTTATAGTTTTTTCAAGTTTTTTACATGTGCAAGTTTTTTTTTTTAATGTGTAGGGTAAATGCACCAGTTGTTGACCGGTCACCAATTAGTTGACCGATGTATAAAAAAAGTTAATTAATTAATATTTTACAAGGGTTTTTTTTTTTTCTTAAAGTATTAAAATAAAAAAATACGGCATTTAATCATAATAATAAAAAATTACGCAATTAATTGCGCAGTGATTATAGCTTTAAAATAATATTCTGAGTTTGTTTACAACGCAACCAGCCTTAAAGTGGTCAAAAATAACTAGCGTACAATTGGAGAGTGAGTGCATTTCATCATTAATTTAGTGATATTTATCGGCATAATATAAAATATTTTAGTTTTATTATGTTAATTAAACATCAGATTCCAACTTTTTTGAAAAAATAAAGTTAAATTATAAGTTTTAATATTATTTTAAGATCGGTCAACTATTGGATCCATCAGAAGCCCTTTACCCAGTAAAAAATTCATTCGGTCATTTATTAGACCCTCTGATTTTATCACAATCCAATTAATCACCGTATATTTATAATACTAACTTCTTAACTTCAAAATTAAATCTGTCAAGTGTTTAAAGTACATTAGTCATTCAATATTTTGTAAATATAAAAATAATCATTATAAAAAATGTATATTTACAATTAAAATAATACTTAAAATCTTTTTTGATTATTAAATTTAATTTTGTTCTAATTTTTTTAGTGAACGGTTATATCAAAGAACGAATTATTAAAAGAAAAAATTGCTAAGCAATTAAAAAATAAAAAAGAGTTACAAGCTAGTAAAAAAGCTTTAATTGAAAAAAAGAAGGAGAAGAATAAAAAAATTTCAAGTTAATCAGAAGAATTATCGTCATCAAAATGAATTTGTGATTATTTGTCACCTAAAGAAATGTGACTTTATGTTAATTATTGTTATTATTTATATTATTTTATAAAAAAGTACGATTTAAAATTATATTGTATGTTTAATTTTGTTAAAGATGTCGCTAATACTTTGAAAGTACTGCATAAATTTAATTACATACATGTAGTTTACAAAATTACTTATAATTATTTGAGCGGTGAATTAATTGGAGAACGCTCGGTCATTTATTGGGTTTCTTCGGTCAATAATTGGTGATTTTGGTATTTCAAGATTCAAATAACAAAATTAATATAATTTTGTTAATTTTTATTATAAATAGTTATTAATTATTATTAATTAAGTATTTAACTTTAATAAAATCCATTACAAATTGTTTTTAGTAGGTTAATAGATTTTTTATAGCTTAGTCCAGAAAAATAAAACTTTAATCGGTCAATAATTGGTGCATTTACCCCTTTTTCTAATATTTAATCCAGAAATAATTTTCCATAATTTTGGCTCTTAAAAAATTTTTTAAGAAGAATACTTTTTTTAATTAAAATTCATAAAATTTAATTAAATTGATAAGTTACAGGGAAGAAATAATAACGAAAAAAAGTTTTGACGAAATGTCGGATGAAAAATATGAAGCGACGTCAACAAACGAGTGTATCGAAGTTTGGTAAGCTAGAAAGGTCTGTATGAAATGGAAGCAGAAGACAAACTCCAATATATCAACAGAAGTGAAACGTACAAAGGAATAACAGCGGACTTGATTGACAATGTCAGGTAATTTGTAACAAGTTTAGACACAAACCCGTTAAATAAAATCAATTTGCCGAATGAAATTTGGTCAATACAATACAATAATAATAAAAAAAAAAGTTCCAGATCAAGACGGACATGCGCTCCTGTTCCTGAGAGAATTTTCCGTTTTCACTATCACAATCACCAGCTCCATGCTTTACAATCCAATCTCCAGAGCAATGAGAGATAACAATGACAAAGACAGTACCAGCTGACGAAGAAGACAAAGCGAGTTTAATGCACCATTCAAGATCAGAAGAAAAAATAACTGATATTTACTTTTCTTCTCGACTGTTATCTTCTTTTATAATTTTAATGCATATAAATTAAGAGATTATTTGATTAATAAATTAATTAAAATTTTAGGTAAGTTATTTTTATATTTAAAATAAAAATTAACGCATTTTTTGTTTATTGATTTACTTATTAATTTTAATAAAACAATTCAACTAGACAACAAATAATAAAATTTACATAATTAAATTACATTAACGATTTTATCTTTATAATTTTCAGATTAACATAATATCTATTTGGGTTTATTCGCAAAGCATGTGTACTCTGT